AATATCTTCGGCTATAGCGCGCTTCAAATATGGCACAAACGACAATTGCTCAAAACCCGTCGTCCTGCCACGCTCCTTCGGGAATCCATTTCTTTAAAACCATGCATGCCAGATGATTGAAATAAACGGCATTGCCTTTCGCAAAGAATGCGGCACGACATGTAAGAATGCGAGAAAAAAATTAGGAATGTATCTCACAGCTTAAATCCAAATAAAACCGCCCGCCCGTATTTCGAAGTTTGACGAACTTCGAACTTTTACCCTAAAAATCGAAGGTCGACGAACTTCGAACTTCTACCCTAAAAATTCGAAGTTCGTCGAACTTTTGACTTTTCAGGAATCGGAAGTTCGACAATTTTCGAATTATTTAAATCAAGAGGTCGAAAGTTCGAAAATTATCGAATATCTTAGCGCAGGAAGGTCGAAAGTTCGAAAAGCTTCGAACTTTTTAGTGCAAGAAAATCGAAAGTTCGAAAATCATCGAATTTTTTTGTCGATCAAATTCGAAATTTCGACAAGCATCGAATTTCGCAGCGTAATAAGTTCGAAATTTCGAAAAGAGTCGAACCTCTTAGTTTAACAAGTTCGAAAATTCGACTTCTGTCGAATTTCTCGATATGGAAAGTTCGAGAATTCGAAATCTTTCGAACCTTTCGAAACGCTTGATGCGATCATCGGAACTTCGATTTGAAAAAAGTTCGCGGCATCCCTATTTGTTGCAATAGCGGCATACTCAGGTTGGAGTTAAAACCACCGTTAGAACGGTCTTGCACACATTACTCCTCAAAAGTAATGAGATACCGTTATTTATTACTTGGCCTTAAAAGTAAATAAATAGATTACTCTTTATTTTCTAAAAAAAATATACTGAAGACGTTACTTGTTATCGAAAGAAGTAGCAATGTAGAAGTAAAAGTAACGCGTCACGCATACGTCTGTGTGTAAGTCCCGATAAACTTACACATATTTATACTAAAAACAAAAAGGAACCATACTCCATTTCACGAGTCGGACCGCAGCATACGCCACGATCTAATAGATCCAGTCAAGCTTTTTTGCCTGTCTCATTGTCCAAACTGGAGTCAATAACGATGAATTGAATTGAAATGAAAAAGCAGCGCCAAGAGTGCGACGTCACTGCGCTGGTCGTCTTTCTGCCTTTGCTAAACGACTAAACCAACCACTCACAGTGAATGGTCCGCTAACCTAATCTAATTATGTAATGATGCATAGATCATGTGCAGCCGTCATTATAGTTGGTCTCATCGCTTACGGCCTGTGAAGCCCGTGATTCGCTTCCAAGTTCCCGGCGAGCACTGACGCAGCATTCGTGTGGAATGCGTATCGGTCCGAGTTCACTTCGAATGCCGACGAAGCGCTCGCGTCCAACGCGCGCTCGTAGTGTGCATGACCAACTAATGGCGGCCGCGCATAATCTATGCATCATTTCGAAGTTTAGGAGAAGGGTTTGGTGAAAGAACGTTTTCGACTGCACGAGCAGGGTCACGTCGTGTGCTGCGTTCGCAATACGAGTTGCGAGCAGAGGTTCGAAAGCGTTGATCGTTTCGGAGTTCCTCGTCCGTCCCTCCGCCCGCTTTTCCCCTCGCTACGCTCGACAACGCAACGCACGCACGCTTGCGACAAATCGTCGCGAGAAACGCGTCCGCCATTAGATTGCGTACGGTCTGCATGACGATCGAGTTGCCCCTTCCTTAAAGGGTAACTCCGCTCAAAAATCGAACCAAAGTAAATGATTGAAATTGATTTACGGACGTTGAATACGAGCACTGCCAAAATATTACACTAATGGGAAACCGCGATCCACACTATAAGACCTAAAATAGCCGCAGCATCTTCCTTGACTGATCGGGACAGCTCTTGCGACTAGGCCTTTCGCATACCTGTCAACGTTCCCGTATTACCCGGGAGACTCAAGAAATTTGACCATTTCGCACGATTTTACGCTTGACAGGAATATTTCCCGGGAAACGCAAATCAACCTTCCCTCCCCGCGCTTAAAAAGAAAAAACAAATGCCGTCGTAACGAACGGCAGCAATAATACCGAGACCCAGTTGTATTTCGCTAGCGTGAACAGCAAAATACAAGTGGAATGAAGTTGTCTTCAGGTAAAGTCATTGTAATTATTTCTTATATTGAAAACAATATAAGTATACACATACTTCTTATATCCCGCAACTTCTCCTTAGACCGGAGCAGACGACGTCTTGGCCCGGGGTTCCGCGTTCTTTGTAAAGAGTCTGGGAGTTGTCAGGTTGTCAGTCGACAAATAACACGCTAGAGTGTTATTTGTCGACTGCTTACGTGTAGGAATGCGAAAGCATTATAGTCCTGGGGGGGGGGGGGGGGTTGTTTTCGAATAATCTTTCTACACGTAATAAAGTTGTTTTGGTGGGATTGTATTCGGTGTGTGTGTTCCCGTATTCGTTGGCGCACTCCGGCGGTGTCATCACGCTCCCCCACTGCGCAGGAGCGGTGGCCCCGCCGGCTTCACGGCTTCCGTGACGAAGCATCTGCGTTGCTGTGCTTTTCTTTGATTTTTATTTCTGAGGCGCGTCCGCTTTGACCTTGAGCGGGGCGTGCTTGATGACGTATTTTTTTAGACCCATCTTTCGGGCCCAACGCCGACACCGCTTTTACGCGTTATGGGACAGATAAGACTTTCGCCTTAAACAAACCCATTAGCCGGTGCCTTTCCCGTATCTGTAAAATTGCCATTGGCAACACCGCCATTGCTACTAGTAGCCGATGATGCCACTGCTCCTTCTGTGCGAGTAGTAGACGACGGTCTTGCTCGCTCTGATTGGAGGGAGACACTGGGTAGAGATCATGTTCCTCGTTGTGTTTGCACTTGTCTTGCAAGTGTTTGTGCCAAAAGCGAGAGGCCCACGCCTCATGCAGCTCATGGAAGAAAATTTCAGTGCTGCTCTCAGTCGAGGCACGTCTCTTGCGCGTTCGCTCAACAATCGTTGGCTGTACTCGGAAGAAGCTCGAAGTAAATTTTATCGAGGGACTTTAGGTATAGAGACAAAGGCAGCTTAGCCTTTGCGTGTACCCCCTGTCCACCCAATCAGAGCTCGGCGCACTGATGTCGCCTTTTCTTGTGCTCAAAAGTCGCCAAGGTTTCATCCCTCCTCTCCCTCAATTTCGCTATGTCACTTACGTTCCCGAGAACGACAGGGAGGTCTTTAGGTTGTCGTGCCTCTGGTGGGAGCTGCCTATTTTCGAAAAGACTTCGGCGTGCACGCGAAGCCATGTTGCACGGTGGAAGGCAAAAAGCACGCGCCCGAGGCCAGGCCATCGGAAATGAGGCGCACTGCCGCTTTCATCCACTCCGTGATTATAGGAGTGCGGTTAGAGACAGAGGGAGACTAGGAGATCATGGCCTCCGAGGTATTTCGCGCGCTGACTGCGTTCCTCAGGCCATTGCACTCGTCGGTAGAGACTATTACTCTGGTTGCTTGGTGGCGCTCGCAACTAGGCCAAACATTACAAACAAAGAGCCGCGAATTATCATCATCACCATCATTGTCGGTCTACAGAACTTAGGAGCAGCTCGAAATGTGCTCTACGCCTCTCGCCGCGGCACACAGGCCTTTGGCAAGGGAGAAGTTGATCGGAATTTGAAGGTTTATGTTTTCAAAGCGCAGAAGGTGCGGATCAAATGTCCGTGCAGGTAAGTGAAATTCAGAAAGCTGTTCTCATGCATGACGACAAAAATATTTCTATGCCTCTCCTGCCGGTTCAGACAGTATACGCAGGCGACAAATACGGATTGGCACTAAATCTTGCATTCTGAGGTATCATCCAGCGAAACAGTGCGCAAAGACCGACCACAGTGGGTGGGCACAGAGGAGCGGCGGCTATGCAGTCGCTTCAAAATCCCTTCTGCTTCATTCTGCAGATTTTGGCCTTCCTTGGGACAGGGCTACCTCCTCCTCGACAGCCAGCCACCATCTCTGCACCGTCATCATGCACTGTCCTGGCGGCTATCGGTGACGACATCGCGCCCGTGTTCGATGCCACAGTTTCGTCCCTCCCCTTCACCAAGCCAGCATCATCGTCAACGACAGCAGGATTCTCTGCGAATTTAAGCGCCTGGTCACCGCAGGACGCTTTCAGTGGGCACAGAGGAGCGGCGGCTATGCAGTCGCTTCAAAATCCCTTCTGCTTCATTCTGCAGATTTTGGCCTTCCTTGGGACAGGGCTACCTCCTCCCCGACAGCCAGCCACCATCTCTGCACCGTCATCATGCACTGTCCTGGCGGCTATCGGTGACGACATCGCGCCCGTGTTCGATGCCACAGTTTCGTCCCTCCCCTTCACCAAGCCAGCATCATCGTCAACGACAGCAGGATTCTCTGCGAATTTAAGCGCCTGGTCACCGCAGGACGCTTTCAGTGGGCACAGAGGAGCGGCGGCTATGCAGTCGCTTCAAAATCCCTTCTGCTTCATTCTGCAGATTTTGGCCTTCCTTGGGACAGGGCTACCTCCTCCTCGACAGCCAGCCACCATCTCTGCACCGTCATCATGCACTGTCCTGGCGGCTATCGGTGACGACATCGCGCCCGTGTTCGATGCCACAGTTTCGTCCCTCCCCTTCACCAAGCCAGCATCATCGTCAACGACAGCAGGATTCTCTGCGAATTTAAGCGCCTGGTCACCGCAGGACGCTTTCAGCGGGCACAGAGGAGCGGCGGCTATGCAGTCGCTTCAAAATCCCTTCTGCTTCATTCTGCAGATTTTGGCCTTCCTTGGGACAGGGCTACCTCCTCCTCGACAGCCAGCCACCATCTCTGCACCGTCATCATGCACTGTCCTGGCGGCTATCGGTGACGACATCGCGCCCGTGTTCGATGCCACAGTTTCGTCCCTCCCCTTCACCAAGCCAGCATCATCGTCAACGACAGCAGGATTCTCTGCGAATTTAAGCGCCTGGTCACCGCAGGACGCTTTCAGTGGGCACAGAGGAGCGGCGGCTATGCAGTCGCTTCAAAATCCCTTCTGCTTCATTCTGCAGGTTCGTAAATACCCATCTTTTCACGTTAAACGATCCTGTAATGGCTTTCTGCTGCTCCTCCAGTGCCCGCTGGTTTTTCTTAGAATTGCTTATATGTGTGTTCACGTTTTTAAGTTACTTTTGTTGTCTGGGGACGTTGAATTAAACCCCGGCCCTATCACTAACGCTGATATTCTGGCTGCCATTGCTGAACAGTCTTCTAAAAACGATGCGCGTCATACCGAAATGGTTGACATGCTAAATCAGGTCAAAGATAACCAGCATCAGCTAGAACTAAAAGTGTTAGACATCAATTCAAGACTTGCAGCAGTCGAATCACTTGTAGAATTACTAGATGTGCCAAAGCATCCTACTGAACTGTCTAATGTTGTTAGTGAGGCCGTCCGAGGCGAAACTACCGTTCTGAATTCAAGACTTAATGAGCTTGAAGATAGATCCCGTCGTGACAATTTACTTTTCTACGGTATCGCCGACACCCTTTCCGAAGACTGGTCGCAGTCAGAATCTCATATCCGCGATAATCTTTCCACAATGTTAGGACTAGATCTACCTGGCGAGGCAATATCCCGTGCTCACAGATTAGGCTCATACTCAACTAATAAATGCCGGCCAATAATTGTTAAATTCTCTTCCTCTAAATTCAAGGCGAATGTGTTTTCTCAGCGTTTTAAGTTGAAAGGAACAGGAATTTCAGTCAGTGAGGATTTCTGTCCGGCTACGCGGCAGTTACGTAAAAAGTTAATCGATTTCGGTAAAGGCACCGGTCAGAGGTTCTCGCTCAAACTAAAGAGGCTGCACGTTAATCAAAAGGTGTATACTTACTGCCCTGTAACAGATTGTGTTTGCGAAGTGACTCCTAGTCACGCTCGTGAAGCTAACAACGCCGCGTCTCTCTCTCCGGGTGCCAATAATACAGTTTCCGCGCCGCAACCGGGCATCGATAACGCAGTTTCCGCACCTGGTGCAAGCAATTATAATTCACACGCGTCATCAACATAACTATGTAAAGGCCCGGCGACTAACGCTATCTCAATATTGTATTCTAACGTGCGAAGCGTGTGCAACAAACGCGACGCTTTGTCATCTCTTATCGACACGTGTACAGCTGATATTGTTATCCTGACCGAAACGTGGCTTTCTAGTAAAATTGCTGACAGTGAAATTTTTGAGTGTGAAGGTATGTACAAATTTTATCGTTTCAATCGTGACTCGCGCTCAGGTGGCGGTGTTCTTATCGCTGTTCGTGATTCTATAATATCGAGCGTTATACCACTTAACCTATCATTAGAGTTCGTGTGTGCCCGTGTACATGTCAGAAACAAGGATTTTATTTTTTGCGCCTGCTATCGACCCCCCGCTTCGTCTAGTACATTTTGCTCTGGGCTTCACGATGTCTTAAATAGATTGGTAGTACGGTTTCCTTCTTCGTCTTTGCTTCTTCTGGGGGATTTTAATTTTCCCACAATTAACTGGAAAAGTGACACCCCCACAGTAAGTGATCACTCATTACAGGCTCTTTCGTTTCTAAGCCTTTGTCTTGATTTTAATTTAAAGCAACTTGTACAAGAGCCTACACGATGTTCATCTCATTCTTCCAATGTATTAGATCTCATTCTCACTACAACCCCTGAGCTTGTGTCTCCCTTAACATACTTACCAGGTTTAAGTGACCATTGTGTTATTCAGTTCGACCTGCAGGCATCTGCTTCCTCATATAAAGCATTTAAGATTATTCGTGACTACAAAAATGCCGATTTTGTTTCAATTAATAATGAATTAGACACGTTTCTAACTGATTACATCTCACGTTTTCATACGCGAACGGTTGAAGAAAATTGGTCTCTCTTCAAGCAAAAAGTGAGTGACCTAACTGACCAGTACATCCCTCTGAAGCGCATCCGCTCTAATTCACAGGCACCTTGGTTTAACGCACGCCTTAAGCGTCTGCGAAATAAAAAGAAACGGTTATTTCGGCGCGCAAAATTAACAAAAAGTGCTGAGCGCTGGGACGCTTACGAAGCTGCTGATACGGAATATAAACAAGCTGTCGCACAATCAAAGCAGGAGTTTTATCAGTGTACACTTTTTTCTCTTTTAAAAGATAACCCACGAAAGTTTTGGAGCGTGGTCAGCGGTAGTAGATCCAGTGCGGTTGAGCTTTGTGATGCGAATAATGTTCCTGTAGATCTAAATGATTGTTGCAATGTCCTGAATGATGTGTTTGCTTCTTATTTTTCCCACACGACTCCTACCTGTTACCCCATTGTTTTCAGCCCTAATTATAGTCCTATGTTTCCTGTTAGTATTGATTCATTTGGTGTCGACTGTTTAATCCAGAAGCTTAAAATTTCTGCGTGTGCTGGGATTGACGGAATCAACTCAAAATTCCTGAAGAGCACCGCCACCTATTCATCTTTGATTCTTTCCGAAATTTTTTCACAGTCTTTGCAGTGTTGCACGTTACCCAACGATTGGAAGGTAGGGAAGGTGGTTCCTTTGCATAAATCAGGTACTGCTCACTCCCCACTTAACTACAGGCCCATATCATTGACTAGTGTGCCGTGTAAATTACTTGAACATATCATTTACTCTCACCTTGTTGCCTTTCTCGAGTCCAATTCTTTTTTTACTAATTGTCAACACGGGTTCCGAAAATTTTTTTCTTGTGAAACACAGCTCGTATCGTTTACTAATGACCTGATGGTTGCCATTGATGCCGGGCTAATAGTTGACTGCATTTTCTTAGATTTTGCTAAGGCTTTCGATTCTGTCTCGCACGACCTACTTCTCTTGAAACTGAGTAAACTTAATATCGATCCTAACATCTTGGGCTGGATTAAATGTTTTTTATCTAACCGCTCACAATATGTTTCTGTCAATGGGCATAATTCTTCTACTACTCCTGTAACGTCCGGGGTACCACAGGGATCTGTCCTAGGGCCTCTCTTGTTTTTAGTCTACATTAACGACCTCCCATCGCAAATTGTCTCCTCTATTAAATTGTTCGCGGATGACTGTGTACTTTATCGCGTAATTACTAATGCCCAAGAGTGTGCTATACTACAGTCAGACCTCGACGTAGTTTCTTCTTGGTGCGCTGAATCCCTAATGAAGCTTAACGTTACTAAATGTAAAAGCATGCGTCTTTCGCGACTCTCTAAAAACACTGACCCTGCCATATACATCCTTAATGATATACCATTAGATGCTGTTGCTTCATACAAGTATCTTGGTATTCACATAACTCATAACCTTTCCTGGAACATGCACGTCGACTATGTCTCTAATAATGCTAATCGTATGCTTGGGTTTTTGCGGCGCCATTTTCGTTCCGCTAATCTTCCCGTCAAACTCCAATTATATAAAGCCTTAGTCAGGCCAAAACTCGAATACGCCTGTTCCGTTTGGGATCCGGGTCATGTAACATTATCACACATTCTCGAATCAGTCCAGAACCGAGCAGCCCGTTTTATCCTTTCTAATTATTCTCGTACTGCTAGTGTTTCATCAATGAAGACAACTTTGGACTTACCTGACCTTGCTTTACGCCGTAAATACTTTCGTCTTTGTCTTTTCCATAAAGTCTATTATTCTAATCTAATTCTAAAAGATCAACTACTTTTTCATCCGTCATATGTGTCACCTCGCCACGATCACCAGTGTAAGGTTGGCACGCCGACATGTCATACGAACATCTATTTCGACTCTTTTATTCCAAGAACATCTAGCGAATGGAACCACCTCCCTGCCTCCATCGTGTCCATCCAGGACGTCACATACTTCAAGAAGCTTGCCAACGATTTCATCTGTACCACCCACTCCTCTCTGTAGAGCCTCCGGGCATTGAGAGTATGAAAATAAATAAATAAATAAATAAACAGTGCGCAAAGACCGACCACAGCAGTGAATAAAACTTAGAATGGATGTTTGGACGAGTTGGGTATTCATAATGTAGGGAACAGTGCAAAAGTTAACTCACTCACACTAAAATACATGCACACCAGAAAAAAAGATCACTCATGTCGCGCTAAGTCACAACTCAGTATGTATTTTCGTCTTCTTCCTTTATCTTTTACCCGTATGAAAATCGTTATATCTCACTTCGGTTGTTTTCTGTACAAAACAAATGACAATGTCTATCACACATCAACCTCGAGTGTCAAGATATAACAACTGTTTTTCATTAAGCGTAATGGACGGACTACTAACACAAGTATCACTCATTTTTATGATGTTAGCACCCTCAATGATCTCACGTGTAAGTTGGTGTCAGTTCTTTCCAATTACGGTGCTATTTGTAAAATTTGCAGTGCACACACAGTCACGGCTAACTCACAGCTAACCAACCCACGGCTAACTCACAGCTAACCAACCCACAGCTAACTCAGGACTTTTGGGCATTCACTGCCGTAACTGTGGGTGCACTTCGAACTTTAAAAATACCATCGTAATTAAAAATAACTATCACCAATTAACACGTGAGATCATTTATTATAAGTTAGCGCGACGTGAGTGATCTTTTCTTTCTTTGTGATGTGCATGTATTTCAGCGTGAGGAAGTTTACTATTGCGCTATTTCCATACAGTGAATACAAATTACGAATTGACAGAGATCAACTTACCTCTTTCAACTCGGATACCGAAACAATGAAAATGCAAGCTTCATGATGCGGGCTCACACTTGTCAGCGTGCTCTGAGGCGATTCTGTCTCCTTTTCTGGTTTGATATTAAGCGCCGCATGCAGAGGTCTAGAGAACTAGCGCGGCTCGCTTTTTCCGCTGGGCAGCCGAGCGTTTCGACAGGCCGGAGTAAACCGCCTCTACCCTGGGAAAAGTGGCGCCAATCATTGTTGTGGAAATGCTCGAGACCAGTTGCCGGGCGCCACTTCTGGGAAGAATATGGCGTCTGAAACCTTGCTCAGTGCTGCGCTTTGCCGCCATGATCTTCCCAAGGGCTGCACGTTGCATGTGCCTCGTGCATCGATGCACATAGCGCTAACTTTAAAACATGAACGGGGCTTTAGGCCGGAGCAGAGCGTACGAAAAACCTCGAGGCCATGAGGAGACGATCCTAGTTAACATATCGTTCGCTTGAGGTTCAACTGGCGATAGTGTGCGCGGATTCATATTGAAGCCGACGACAACCAATCTGAAATTGAATTTCGGAATGCACTTGTAAGGGAAATAGTGAGTGCATTTTATCTCTGCGCTCGATTATAAGAGGAAATTTCACGAATTATTCGTATGCGCCCTAGACAGCTTGGAACGCTTCTCAGACATGTTGAGCAGAATAGCGCGCAAAAAGACGACGACAGAGAGAAGAAACTGTCCTTGTATTTTTGTGCGCTGTTCTGTTCAATATGTCTTCATACCAACTTGCCCAACTTGCAACACTTCAACATTTCGCAGTCATGTAGAAAAACACATAGGCCTTTTACGGCGTTTTTTCTTTCGAAATCAGGGCACCAAAAACGGCGCTAAAATGACCTCTTACATGTCTATGACCTGCGGGAGGGTTCGTTTTCCAAAGCAACGAAGAGCATCACGAAAATCAAGAGAGACGTCAAGACCTACGCTCTAACACTGTAGCAGTGCCTCTCTGTACATTTAGACGATCAAAATAAAGTCAAGTAATTCGTGCGATTTGTAGTAAACTAATAAATAACATTCTTTTCATATACTCTGCTGCTCATGTGTGGGAGCAAACGTAAATTTCTTCTGGGGTTAAAACCTCATAGCTGCATGCTGGAAAAGTTTTAAAATGGAGAAAAGCCAGAAAAATCTTACCAGTCCGATAAATTCAGCATAATTATAAAAGGAGGGACACCTTTTCATATTTTGCGTACTTTTACAGTTTGACGCGTTTTAACCGCTCTTAAATGAGGGTCATTTTAGTGGAATATAAAGCTCGCATGTTGTCAATATTAGTGGCATCGATATGTTGGCGCTCTTTGAAGAAGCCTTACTTTATTTTCGACTGTTATTTTTGCTTAGATTTGTCGCTTGTCTTTACACAATTACTGTAGAACATTGGATACGGATCCGGAATGCTGTGAAGTTGTACATGGCTCACTGATAGGAAAAGTACAGTAACTAAAGTAAGGCCAGAGCGCAGAGCTCCGGTTGGAATGATTAGTGGGACTGGGAAGCACACTGGTACGGCTCTCATTAGAATTGTAATCCACTTACTTGTAATCGATCACTTTTTGGAATACTTTTGCAATAATTTTATTACATTTACTAGGAAGTAATCGCAACAATAGTTTTATTACTTCTGGAAGTACCGCAATTGCTTGTAACCTTTATAGTTATTTTTCTCCCGTTTATGATGGCGCTCTTTGTTCGAACATTTTCTAGCGAGGAATCCTCGA